AAATAGCATATGTTAGCTGGGCATTGGTGGCACATGCCTTTAATCCCAGCACTCGGGAGGCAGAGGCAGGCTGATCTCTGTGAGTTCGAGGCCAGCCTGGTCTCCAGAGCGAGTGCCAGGATAGGCTCCAAAGCTACACAGAGAAACCCTGTCTCAAAAAACCAAAAACAAAAAAACAAACAAACAAAACAAAACAAAACAAAAAAACCCCAAATAGCATTTGTTTCCAGTTTTCCTCATATGAACCTCAACTTAGACACATGGTATTAAAGGATGCACTATTTTAATTTAAGTTACTTGTGTGTCTGTGTGTGGGTTCTTGTATGTGAGAGATCACAAGAGAGCATTGGACGCTTTGAAGCTGGAGTTACAATTGGTTGTGGGCCACCAGACTTGGTTTCAACTGACTTCAGGGCCTCTACAAGGGCAGTATGTATTCTTAACTACCCAGCCATCTCTCCGGCACCAAACTCAATGCTTTCCTTAGCCGATATTCTGCCAATCATTGGTTTTTCTATTTTTTATTTAATTAGTTGTTGAGATAGGGGCTCTTTATTCCGGGCTGGCCTCCACCTTGCAATGCAGAAGATGATCTTGGATTTCTGCTCCCCTTCCTCTCCCTCTCAAGTGGTGCAGTTACAGGTGTATGCTGCCATGCCCAGTTTATATGAAGCTAGAGTTCAAACCCAGAACTCTATGTATGGTAGATAAGAATGCTACAACCTGATCCAAAGCCCAGCCTCTCACTCTTCCTTGATTTTTGTTCTCATTGGTTTTTTTCTCTTTCTTTTCTCTTCTTGTTTTTTTTTTTTTTTTTTTTTTTTTTTTTTTTTTTTTTTTTTGTAAGAATACCGGAAGTTCAGAGGGTCTACTTGGAATAGCAGGTGTGTTTTGAAGGCTCCCTCTCTGTACCCTGATCAGAGCCTGTCTGCTTCTGCCTCTGGTGACTGGAAAATGGACAGGTAGGGCCCCCAAAGACACGTTTGGAACTAGAGGGGTTTTAGGTTTCAAACATGCATGCCATTAATAGTTAGCTGTCTCCGCCTCATGCTTGTGGATCTCAGCTACTGCTCCAGTGACATGATTGCCAGCCTGCCTGATGTAGTGCTCCCCGCCATGATGATTATGGACTCTAACCCTCAGGAACCTTGAGCCCCCAAACTAAATGGTTTCTTCTCTAAGTTATCCTTGCCACGATGTTTTATCACAGCAACAGAGAAGTAACTAAGACAATTGGCCTTTGAGGTCATTCAAATGTGGGACTCGTCCCTTGGAGACAGTGACCCCTTCCTCCTCATGCTTCCCTGAGTTCAACCATTGCATTTGGATGGGAAGTGAGACCCAGGCAACTCACTGCAGCAATGCTGCGGTGGATGAGTCAGTGGCCAACAACCTCTTCTGACTTTTGTGTATCCCAAAATAAGCCCATAAGGGGCAAGTTTGGGGGTTGGGGAAGTAAATAAAAGGTTAACAGGTTCAAACAGACTTGAGACCCATAATGTGTTTGTTTACTTCAAAGGATGGGGCCAGGTGTGAGGTTAGGAGGGATCTGTGGACCTATGTATCCTATGGTCCCCTTCCCTGACTGCTTCTGTGTTATTCCGTGTTCCTCTATTGTAACAACATGTATGAGATGATCTGTTTGCAAAGAGCAAAGGCTGGTTTTGGTCATGGTTTCGGGTGGCCTTAGTGTAAGCATTCTTCTACTCCCCCAAAAGAGCTTAGTCTGAAGAGAGAAGCAGTGCCCTATCCACGAAGCTTCTATCCTTATTGAGGCAGGCCAGACAGGCAGAGGAGACAGGGTCAACCACATGGCTGGAGGCTGATATAACCGTGGGCTGTGTTATATAGACCATGAGGTGACCAAGATGAGCACTAACTGACCTTTGCTTCATTATAATGGCATCCGCATATCGTCAGCCTGACAGGATCGTCTATTCCACCATGCACTGGATGACGCACACAAGGGTAGGTAAAATGAATAAAACTTACTCCATAAAATCCATTGTTGCTAGGACCCCATGTGGCTCTAACCAGCACCTTGCCTCCTTTCAATTTATGCTACCAGCCACATCATAGTTCCTAAGTTGCCTTATTTCTAGATCAGATTTTATTGTTGGTTTATATCAATTTTGACCATAAAACAATACTCAAAAGAATTTAAATAATAGTGACTTCCTATACATCTATCACCCTCCTTGATTCTATAACTTACCTCAAAAGTGGAGTTGCAGGAATTCCCTTATGTTTGTGAAACACAGCCTAATGCCCTGGGTGGGAGAAAGAAGGGTTTCCCAGCCTTCTCAGGCAGAAACAGAATGTCTCAGCATCCCTTTCTTTGCTGTCCCTATGCACTGAGCCTATTCCTGGTACCCTGGGTGTCCTCTCTGCCTCAAGGCCCTCCCGTATGTTCTGTGCAATTTCACCCAGGCATGGGCTTTCCCATATAGTGACATATCCTATACCCCAAGTAACAGAAGCAGTCAGGAGAGGAAAAACATTGGAAGGAACTCATAGAGTGGGTGAGTGATTATGTCTGCTTCAACTCCTGGACCCATTCATATCAAGCTGGATTTAGAGGAGGGTTCTTAGAGAAACAGAGCTCAAACTGACCTGAAAAGGTCCTGCCCATCAACCTTCACAGTGCTATGCAGGCACCATGCAGACACTATGTGGGCTTCTGGGGGTGAAAACATGTCAGTGGTCTTACCCAGTAGTGGACCTGGTGTGATTCAACACCAACCTGACATGCAAAATGTTCCCACTGGTGCAATAGGGCATGAAGATTATAGGGTAAGCAATTGCCTTCTGATTGGATCTGAGGCCTGTTTGACAGGAAGGAATCCATGCCTAGTATTGTAAACCAAAAGCTCATAGCACAGGAGATCATATGGCAGGCGGGCGGTGGGGGGGGGGAGGCTATTGTCATTTTGCTAAGTTGACATGTTGATAAACTGCCAGTATTTGTGTTTACACCCATAGACTAGGGCTGTTGTCACCCTTGACCAGGGAGGCTGACAATTAAAGCAGAGACTCAGGACCATTTGGGACATCTGTATCACTCCCCACCCCCAACCAAGGAGGAGGGAGCATCCCAGAAGAGGAGGTGGGAGCAATATAAGAGCTGGAGGATGGGCAAAGGTGAAACCTGGACTTCCCAGATCCAGCTAGACGATACACTTGCCTGGTAGGTGACTGTGTTTTGTGAACATGACTTGGTAGACTTCAGTGATCAGAAATATTTATCCAGAAGAGTATCTGTAACCTTCTTCACAGAGCCTCGTAAAACACCAAGAGGTTCAGGGAAAGATCACCCGAATACTATATAATCTACCTATACCACGGAGTGGAAAACTGAGAGCACCGTGGGACTCTTGAAGAACCCGAGGGCTCAGAAACCACCTGTGTGAGTTGTAAAAGAGGGATGCTTGAGAGGTAAATATCTCCAGCCATCAGGTCCCCTTCCCCTCCCAGGGGTTCATAATTGAGAAAGGTCTATAGATGTGTTTTACCCAGAGAAGAGGTGTTGACAGTCACACGGCTGTCAATGCCACCAGCAGGTTCCCTGGGGAGACTGGGTAGTCAGCAGCCTTGAGGATGGATGGGATTAAGTTCTCCCCCTTCACTGAGATCTTGATGGCCTGACTTACAAGCTTCCACATCCTTCCAGGCTCTACAGCCAGGAAATATGGTCCCCAAATCCAGCATAGCCTATAGTGCTCACTATTAGACACTCTGAATACTGGAGCCATGGTAAATCTGGGATGAATGTTTATAATGTATGATTTAAGATAACCTAGGGAATTATGGAAATGAAAACTATATTGCTGAGCTACGGTGTAGCTCAGTTGGCAGAGTACCTGCCTAGAGTTCAAAACCTAGCACGATATGAAACCAGATGAGATAACATATGTGTGTAGCCCAGCATTTGGGAGGACCAAAAGTTCGTGGTTATCTTTGGTTATACAGAGAGTTTGAGGCCAGTTTGGTCTACATGAGACCTCATCTAAAAAATAAAATAAAAAAACATGTTGCCAAACTTCCTTGGAATTAAATTTCAGGGGGATTTATAAAACTTCTGTGTATCTTTGACTGACAACTAGAAAGTAAGAAAGTTAGTACAGCTAGCTAGGTAAGGCAAGCTTCTGTCTTGTACACACAGCAGCTGGCACTATCATTTGAGCATGGATTTCTAGTGGCTTTGGGAGCTGTAGGAGGGCTCACCTGACTCATATTCACCCCTTTGTTCTTGTTACTCAAGAGGCAGCCATTTATTGACCCAATAAATGTTATTTCATGCCTGGTACTATGGGACCCTGACTACAATGACAAGATCCTTTTTTTTCCCTTTGGACCCACAGGACACTAGGGGGAGCCAAATATGTGAGTTAGTGTCTGTAGGAGGTAGTGACGACAGACAGAAAGGGTG